ACCCCAAACGCACTCCCAAACTCAGGTCTTCCAAACAGCTCTGCCCTTAGCAGTTGTGGGAAAAAGCTGTCTCTTCCAGTCAAAGCTGCAGCATTTCCACTCCCCATCTGCGAGAGAAATTTAAAACTACAAAACAAGTGAATATTTTTTTCTGACAATATTTATTTGAATACAAGGGTGAATTTTCATGTAACTCCGATCAGACTTCTTCAGTGTTCACTCTGCATGAATACTTGAGTACTTGTTCACAAGTTTTTTAATATTTACAGAAAGTGACTTTGGAGCTTGACAAATATTCACTGAAAGCATCTGGGTACTGAACTGCCATTATTAGTTACATCCATTATTAGTTACAGATGCCACCTAAGGAGAGAGCAAAACCAGCTACAGTGGGATTTAGTTTTCATGGGTATTCACAGCATAACCTTTCCAATCAATGTGAAGACCACAGTTTATCACAAGAAAAAAATCTTCCCGTCATCTTTAGTCCTTAGGACATCGGCAGATTTTCCAGTCTGCTCCCCGATGCATTGCTAACAGAATAAACCAGATGAAACGCAGTGAATACACAGTTCCTTGCACATTACTGATTTAGTACTATTTGGATGCAAACTCTTGCAGAGTCACTGTGCAAGTTTCCACCCTCACCAAAGCAAGAGCGAAGCATATGCTCACTGCTGATACGAGTTCCTGAAGGCTCCTGTTTATGGTTGGATGTGGCTTCTCTCTTTTGTAAAAGGAATTTCATATGCTGAGACTCTTTGTACATATTTATAATGACTTTATTAAAAAAAAGAAAAACAACTGTTCAATGGCGAAAAAAGGCTCCGGCTTTTATTTCCTCTCTGAAATTTGAGCGGATAATTTCTTTCCACATCCCTGTTTTCCCATGGAAATCAACAGAAGTTTCTCATCAGCTGTCACTAGAACTGAAGTTTCCCCAGTATGTCTTCTGGTCCAAATGTCAGGAGAGGGTGCCTCACAAAACCACCACCCTAACTTACCCGTGGAGGGAGGGTTTGACAGACTGCTAACGGCACAGGGCTGTTTCTTCCACAGCATCCAGGCCAGAAGAATAGGGACTGAAGGATGTTGTTTTAATTTAACAGCTATGTAATAGTGGCCTGTAGTAAATTCTTTAACCTTGCAGGAATTAAGCCGATCTTTGTTATGCTTCCAGTAGAATAAATATCCACAGCATAAAATTTCACCTTCTATTTAGTACTAATTAATTTTAGCAGAGAAGTGGAGCACTGGATGGCCCACCGAATCTCGGGCACCCGTGCCCTCTCAGATGCAGGCTCTTCCCGTAATGAAGGCCTGGCACCCAGATCTCAGTGCTGCATTTTGTCACTGAGGTATCCGTCTGAACAGCAACAGAAGCCTTCTGTCTCAAAGGCTACCCAAACAGCAACTTGCCTGGATTTCTGTTGAGACAAAGGAGAATTGCAATGGGTTACCGGCACTCAGGTGCCGGATACCTCTGAGCACACCACCAGAGGAGCCAGGCTTTTGTACCGGGACCAGAATGCTGCCTTATAGTGAGGGAAAGCAAAAATCAAGAAGGGGTCACTGAGATGAAGCAAAAGAAAAATGAATCATTAGAAGTCCTTTAGAAAATCTTGATGCTGGTGCAGGGGTTCTTACATGGGTACCAAAATCATCCGAGGTACGTGGCAATTCTTCCACTGTGTGCTGGTATGAAGTCCTACTGCGTGATCTTCCTGAGCCCTTGGGCTGTAGCAGCGTTTCAGGTATATGATGATGATGATAGTCCCCTCTCTTACACTGACAACTGGGAAAGGTCATTCAATAAAGCAAAAAAAAAGCAAAGAGAAAGAAGGACGATAAGAATGGCAAAAAATATTCCCCGTTCTCTCCCGTGGATTGCCTGCCTTCCTTATCACCAAATAAAAAGTAGTAATTCTGAAACAGCGTATCAAGTGCTATCTGTAGCGTTAGGCTCAAATTGACCTTTCCATACACTTCTCCAAATACATTTTCCAGGAGCATTTAGGAAAAAAAACCAGAATTAGAAGTGGCTTTTCAAACATTTTGAAAGCAGATACCACCAACCCTTTAATTAATTGGCATTGCACTGAAAACAGACGCTGAAAACTTTCATAAACGGCCTGCCCACAGAATCGGTAATTTTCCCTGTTCCTGGTGAATATACCAGACTATTGTACATAACAACATTTTTATGCCCACTGAAAACCTTGCTTCCTTCCTTACTGAACTCTCTTCCCCCATCCCAAAACGGCTATTCCCACTGGAGATAGCCACTGGATTCCTTGGCTTAGCTCTCCACTTTCATGGGATCCATTTGACAAGAACCAAATCACTTTGTTTTGGAAAGTAAAGCTTTTCCTCCTCTACTTCCCTGTATCTCTCAAGCCAGATTTGGACTATCTTCCCTGCTCAGGCTCTGCTTCTCATCGTTTCTCCTCTAGCCATACCGAATTATTATTTCCAAAGAAATGTTGAGCCTTAATCCTGTTACCATTAGCTCCTGTTTGCTTTAATTCTTCTCCCTGTGGAGTTTCACAGCAGGAGGGGAAGGCGGCAGTCAGTACATACACACAGGCTCATTTCCCCCAGGTACAGTTCTTCCTGATTATCCACTCAAGTGGGATTGTAACCTTACGGCCATTTCCATAGTAATGAGCATGGAAGATGCCACAATTGCCTAATGAGGCACTTTCTCTGGGTGTGCAGCGAAAAGCAGAG